GATTGTGCAACTACTCCGCTTAGCACTTAATTAAATGCGATTATCAATTTAATATTACTAGATTAGTCCTCCATAAATCGTGCAAAGCATAACATTTTAGATCTATGACGAAACAGAACCAAGCTCATCATTTTTTCGTATCCCCACATACACGACAAAGACAGTCACGTTCAGAAGAATCTCCACTTTCTCCATTTTAGTACATATACAGTTAGCAGTACCTCTGGAATGCACAATACATTTCGACTGTACGAATGGAACATGTTTTTTCCCGAAAGAGCGTGACCTATGTAAATGTGCTCTGTGTAGTTTATTCTAGCCTAGACAAGACTTTCCAACTTTGTTCTTAGCCTTTATGCAGTACATCTTCACCAAAGATTGTTAGTCTTGCTCCTGTCACCCCTGTACACGTATTGCCCTAAAGGTACTCTTGACATATAACTTGTTTAGACTCCGGAGCTGAGCAGTGCTTTTGAAATGCGATTCTGGTAAATTCAAGCTAGATGGGTAGGGTAGAGCACTTGATGAGGAGAGTTTGCAACAAGTGCGAAGCTTATAAATATCAACGGGTGTTGGCAGACAGTGCAACACTTCTTGTCGTAGTTGATCCCCAAATGAGGTAACAGAGCTTGAAGCAATTCATTTATACTCTGGCAGTTTCACTTGGGTGCTTGTACAATCTGTTCTTTGTGCCCTATTTGATGAGAACCTACGCTTAGTGCTCCATTTAAGTGTATTATACTTGTTTAATTCTAATAAATTCTACTCGCCACTCCAACGATTTGTTTTATTGTTTACGCAAGTACACCTATCCTAATCTTAATTCTTTTTAACCTGTGGGTTTTCAGAGGTTTGGACAAACTTCTCAATCGATGGCGACCAAATTCAGTGGTTGGTGTGTTCACTGTACGAATGCTGTCGTCGTTCCAGTTCCGACAGCTCTTCAGGGCAGGTCGTGGAGAACGTGTATGTTCCGTTGACCCGCCTCTTATCTGCGGCAAAAATGAGTATGGTCCAGGTGAGATACTTGCTTATACTTTACTGTAAATATCTGCAGTTTTTTCACCGAATCCGTCGCTGGGCAGAAATGACAGAAATGTGTAATGATATGCGTGACAGAATTGAACATTTGGAGCGGCAGTTCGCTATTTCGTCGGTTACCTTCCGTCATTTCACGCGCGTGTTTCCTCTCTTATTTTCGCCGACTTCTGACGAGACCTACAAAGAAGACATGGGTAAGCTAAATTGGAGAAGCGTTCTTCTTTGTTTCATTTGAGGACTTTGCATATCTCTAAACACATAGCAAATCACAATTAGTTTTGGATATCCACAACTGACGTGCACTTACGTCGGAAAATCTTGTTCGTGTAGGTAAGTCTCAGGGGCAGAATAGCAATAGGAAGAAGAGACGAAAAGGGAAAAGCGAGGGCTAGATACCCTATGAATTCCATAGGTGTGTTACCTTGCTGGATGCAGTACCTCCGTTGGCTTTTGCAGAAATCTACCATGTTTATACTTAGGTTCGCTGCCAAGTAAGGAATCTCAAGGAAGCAGTTCTTGTTCTCTGTAACTTACCTTTCTAAACCGATGACATCACATTCCATTATTTGATGAATGTATATGAATCCTTACCTCGTATGGCATACTATCGGGTCATCACAACGGAAATATAAAGTCACGAAAATATAAGAAATATGCTGTAAACCGGACATTCACGACTCAACCTCTCCCTGAAAAAATATGTAAAAATCCCATGGGAACGCAGAATCATACCAAGTTCTATACATAGGGGAGGGTGGATTTATTGCCAAAGTGTATAAGTATGGGGTCCCGGTGACTTCACGGAGAAGCGAGTTTTAGTAAGCCGTTGCAAATAATTATATATAATTTAATCTGGACGTTCACAATCCTTTATAACAACATTTAAGCCGGTTATATTAGAAAGGGAGGTTACAATGAAAACAGACAAACAGACAGTCCGGTTTACATGCCAACATGACCTAAGGCTATTACGTTTGTTGGAAAAATCTTTTGCGATGCCAAATAATCTTTCCATAGATGATTGATTGGTTTTACCAAAAAATGAATCAACTCCCAACGCATCAAACTGAGTCGGTTTCATTTTACCGGATAAAATGGTTCATCCATGCATTTTCATAACATAATCAAAGGGCAAATCAATATGTTCCGCTCGAGTGTTTACGAGACCATGCAAATGCCAGAGCCCTTCCGAAACAGCAGTTTGCCATAATTCGTTTTGCACATTTATATACCCAAGAAGCATGGCCTTACTACGTGAGTCTCTGCAACGAAACAATTAGTACACCTGTTTCTAAGAAATTTGCAAAATTTCTCGGA